CTCTCTCTCTCTCTCTCCTTCGTCCCAGTGTTGCTAAGGAAACCCCGAGGGAGGGAAGAAGGGAGACTAACTCCTTCCCTATATCCAGCAAAAGAAGGCGGGGCGACCGCGAAGGGGGCGTGGCGTCGCCCTCTTAGCCCCGCCCCTAACTAGTTTCCTCCCTCGACGCAGTGTTGCCAAGGTAACCTCGAGGGAAGGAAGGAAGGAAGGAGGGAGTCTGACTCCTTCCTTCCTTCCTCCCGCGCGCCGCTCTTAAAGGGCCCGCAGCAGCAGAAGGGGGCGTGGCATAAGTCGCTTGACCCCGCCCCTTCCCGCCTTCCCTAGTTCCAGTGTTGCCAAGGAAACCCGGAGGGAGGGAGCGAATGAGGGAGGCCGTTCAGGGAAGCAAGCGAAGGGATGTGAAGCGCCGGCACCTGTTTCTCCTCTGAGTCGTGCTCCCCGCGGCCCTTGGCGGCGAATGAGGAGAAGGGGGCGGGGCCTGGCGTCGCCGTGGCAACCCCCCGCCTCCCCCTCGCGCTTCCCCAGGGGCGGGGCGCGGTTGCTCCTCCTCCTCCTCCTCCCGGCATGCTTCGCGCGCACCCCTCTCCCTCCCTGGCGAACATGGAGGCCGCGGAAGGAGAAGGCTTGGGTGAGGCGGGGGCCCTGTCCGTGCCCTTCGCGGCCGAAGGAAGGTGAGGACGGGGGCGAAGGGAGTGGGCGAGGATGGAGGGGCCAGGGCCTACGAAGCCCCCTCCCCTCCACACCCCCCTCCCCCCTGCGGTGACCCCTCCCTCCCTTGTTTGGAACCACCTTCAGGCCCCGCCCCCTCGCCCCCAAAGAGATCCCTGAGGGAAAGGGAGGGGCGTGGCCTGGCAGGGGGTTCAGCCCCGCCCTTTGACCCCTGGATCCCAGCCACGCCCCCTCCATCCTTTGTTTGCATGCTTTGTTTTGAACCCACAGAGGAGCCCCCCCTCCTTCCAGGGGAGAAGAAGGAGAAGAAAAAGAAAATGGGGGGAATGGGGAGGCGGTGGGCCCCGCCCCACAAGGCCTTGCAGCCCCTCTGCCAGAAGAAGAAGAAGGAGGAGGAGGAGGAGGAGGTGAGTCCTGCAGGCCGGTGGGAATGGGGAGGGATTCCTAGAAGGGTGTCCTACACTGAATGCACTAAATGGAGTCCAGTGCTAGGCATTTATTTAATTTAATCTTCTATATAAATAAAAATGTAATGTTTTATTTGAGCAATTTATTTGAAAACACAGAAATGCTGGACCACTCTCACAACCACCATGTCAGACTATACAGAGAAGCCATTGAAACACACAAGCATGTGGACAATTTCAACAGAAAGGAGGAAACCATGAAAATGAACAAAATCTGGCTGTACCAGTATTAAAAAAGCTCTAAAATTGCAACAGCACAACAGAGAGGAAACAAACAAGGACATCTCATCACCTCTCAACAAAAGTTGACTCCAGTCACTGTCGTGCCATTATATGCTAATCAAGGTGGTCAGTTGAAACATTGACACCTAACTCCAGCAGACAAGAGTCCTTTGTCTCACTCTGGTCATTCCACAGATATATAAACCCACTTTCCTAGTTCCAACAGACCTCACTACCTCTGAGGATGCTTGCCATAGATGCAGGCGAAACGTCAGGAGAGAATGCCTCTAGACCAGAGGTCCTCAAACATTTTAAACAAAGGGCCAGGTCACTGTCCCTCAAACTGTTGGAGGGCCGGATTATAATTTGAAAAACCATGAATGAATCCTATGCACACTGCACATATCTTATTTGCAGTGCAAAGAAACACTTTAAACAATACAATAATTAAAATGAAGAACAGTTTTGACAAATATAAACTTATTAGTATTTCAATGGGAAGTGCGGGACTGCTTTTGGCTGATGAGATAAGATGGTTGTTATTGTGACCTTTCAAGTCGTTTTAGACTTAGGTTGACCCTGAGCGAGGGCCAGGTAAATGCCCTTAGAGGGCCGTATTCGGCCCCCGGGCCTTAGTTTGTGGACCCCTGCTCTAGACTATGGCCATATAGCCCGAAAAAACCTATAACAACCCAATGTAATGTTTGTTTGTGGAATTAACATAACTCAAAACGCACTGGACAAATTGACATCAAATTTGGACACAATACACCTATCAGGCCAACAAGTGAGCATCACTCATTAAAACGCTGAAAAACGCAACAGAAGGAACATAAAAAGCCAAAAAACTTCAAAAAATACATTACAGTGCGTGCACAAAACCACATCTATAAATATACACATGCATACACACACACAAAACACATAGAAACTGGGCTACAGCAACACATGGCAAGGGACGGCTAGTATATAAATAAAAATTAATGTTCGTTTGTGCGATTAACATTACCCAAAACCCACTGGATGAATTTTCATCAAATTTGGACACAAGACAGCTATAATACGCAGTAAGATGTAGGTAAAGGGCTATGTAAAGATAGATGTTCTCCCTCGACATTCAGTCTAGTCGTGTCCAACTCTGGGGGGTGGTGCTCACATCCATTTCTAAGCCAAAGAGCTGGCATTGTCCATAGACACCTCCAAGGTCATGTGGCCAGCATGATTGCATGGAGCACCATTATCTTCCTATTGATCTCACATTTGCATGTTTTGGACTGCTAAGTTGGCAGAAACTGGGGCTAACAGTGGAAGCTCACCTTGCTCTCTGGATTTGAATCATCAATCTTTCGGTCAGCAGCTTCAGAAGCTCAGCAGTTTAACCCGCTACAACACCAGGAGTGCTAGAAGAGTGTTATTCCCTGATCCCCCTCTCCCCCCCCCCTTCCTCTGCAGAACCCTCCTTTGGCTCCTCCTCACAGCTGCCCTGGGGGGCCCTGGAGCTTTCCCAGAGCCAGGATCTTCTGGGAGGAAGTGGAGAAGGAGCTGGAATAGGAAGCAAGGAGGAGGAGGAAGAGGAGAGCCAGAGCCTGAGTCTGAAGGCAGCAGCCAAGGAGGAGAATGGAGGCATATGCCAGGAGAGACAAGACTTGCCAGGCCCCTCAGGAGCCACCAAAGCTGCCCAGGAGAGAGAGCACAGCAACATCAAGGAGAAGGAGGAGGAGGAACACGCCCAGAGCTGTGGTAAGAGAAGGTGTTTGGGATGGAGCAAGCAGGCCTCTCAGGATGCAGGGATGAGGCCTCCTCTCTTGCAAGGGAAATGAACTAGGAAGGGCTTCTCAGAATGTTTCCTTTGAGCATCCTTCACCTTTTCTGCATCTGAGATCCTTGGATCTCTCCAGTGGTCTCTCTGCAAAAGTGTTTTTTTTGTGGGGTGGGGTTGCATAAGGTGGACACAGCAGTGACAGCACTTCCTCTGCAAATGGTGGCAGGGCCACTGTCTCATGGCCTCTGCATGCGTGGAGAGGGTTTCCAAGCACAAAGTGGGCAGGAGGGGGAGGGGCTTGCTTGGGGCCCCCAGAAGCTCTTGGGAAACCAGGCAAAGGAGCCATCTCTCCTGTGGTCGGCCCTGAAGCGGGTACAGCTCTTCCTTTGAGAAAGCAGTTCTTAGGCTGCAAAGCACACAGCTTTTCCAGGGATTGAGTGCTGGGCTTTTAAGTTAAGGAACTACCCGTGAGGGCAGCCCCCCTCTCTGCTTGCATTTTTAGGCAGAACACTTCCTGGGCTTTGTTCCTATGCTGCCTCCAGTTTTGAGGTTAAGAAAGAGAAAAAGAGGGGCTTGAGCACTGGGCAGCTTTCTCTTCTTTTTGGGCAGAGATTCAAACATTTCTTCAGTATACAATATATACTTCAATATATACGTTTGCCCCCCAAAATTGTGTGAAAACTTTCAAATAATGGTCCCTAAATGACTTCTGGTGGTGTGAGAAGTATGTCCACTACATTTCAGAGGACCATTAAAAAAAAACTATAGAAAGTGAGCAGGAAGTTGTTCTTTCATTTCCTGTTGTGAAGAAAAAAATCCACCTGTGCCTAAAATGGCTCAGAAGACTGCCCCCCCCCCCCCATGGTGAGACTTCAATATTTAATTTGTGATTTGATAATATCATCACTTCTGGAATGTTAAAGTTATAGTTTATGCGAACAGTAATTACAAACGGAGTTTATGTATGAAATGTTTCGTTTTTTTGTTATAAGCAGAGTTGAAAACCTTTAGCTGGCAAGAATTGTAGGGAATGCCTTTGGTCTTGCCATTTTATGGGGAACAGTTAGTCCGCTTTCAGTGGGTCAGAATATCTCGGGTACTTTCACAGCAAGAAGTGGACACACAGACTCCAGTACTGGATTTTATCATAGCTCTATATTGATTACACAGACAAAGGGGAAACATCACATACACTCTAAATTTACTCATAATCCATTCATTCACTCATTCACGCTCACCACCCTTTGTCATTCAGTCCATCAGGCTTCTTGGGAGGAAGAAGGCGGGTGTTCAAATGCTACATTCCTTGCAGATCTGGTATAGTTTGAAAAAGGAAAGAGGTCTCCTTTTGTAGAACTTTTTGTTGTTGTTACCCATTTACTTGGTTATTTAGATAATCAGTCATTCAGCTCAGACTTGCTGGAGCCTCATCTATCCCAGAACAGATAAGTTGCTTAACTTCTTTATAAGGTAAGGCTGCCTTTGACTATCTAAACAGGTGTTGTTTACACCAAAAGTTCTCAGGTCAGTCCTCTAGAATTCTCCTTAGCACTTTTCATGCCACAGTTAATGACTTCTTCACCTCCTCCATAATGCCATTTTCCAGGTTCCAATTTTTGGATGGTATCTTCAGCCTTGCCAGGCTTTAATAGGCCCTTATCCAAACCCCAATCCTACAATTTCATTCATTCCATTCATCACAATGCCTCCATTCCTGACTGTGGGTCTCTGGGTTGTTTTGTGTTTGCCCTACCAGCAGGTGGAGGAGGTGTGGCAGCAGGGGGTGAGGTGACAGGATCGGGGAGAGGCAGCCCTGAGAGGTAAATAAATGCCTGCTTTCCTCCTTCCCTCCCTCTTTTGTGCATGATGGTCTGGAGCCCTTTCCCTGTCGAAAGGGGCACTGATGCTCTCCAGGTTCCCAAGTGCCCCAACTTCGGCAGTCTTTAGGAGGAGCATGAAAACGTGGTTGTTCCAGTGTGCCTTCCCAGAATAAGGAAATACTCTCAGCAATAGGTCCTCTAAATGCACTTTATAATTGATTTAGGATTGTTTGATCGCCCCTCTCTTGCCGAAAATTCTATCCCAGTATATTACCTTGCTCATGCCCAGCATTATTTTTTAATTTTTAATTATCACATTTGGCCCAGCCATAGGTTTTTAAATGCTTGTTGTTACTGTTACTGTTTATTGTTTATTTTTGTCTATGAGATTTATTTTGATTGTTTTGTATTGATGTTTTGTTATTGCTTTTATTATTGTTGTTCTATGGGCTCGGCCTCATGTAAGTCCCTTAGGGAGATGGTGGCGTGGTATAAATAAAGATTATTATTATTATTATTATTATTATTATTATTATTATTATTATTATGTGAGAAGAGGGCAGATTTGTTTTTCTGGTGAAACAACTGGAACACCAGGGCCCCAGAAAGGAGCATACCTGCTTGCTCATGATGATTAATCCATCATCTGACTGGTGTGTCCTTGTTCCTTACAAATATTGGGCTTCTGGGCTTCTTTTCCACTTGGGTTGGCATTTGTCCAGAGTCCCTGCTGTGCCCAAACACCTTCTCCTCTACAACCCCAACTGTAAGGAAGGGGGGAAGGAAGGAAGGAAGAAAGGAGCAGTTTCTTCCTTCTTCAGAGGAGAGTGAATGTCAGACTCTGGAAGATCCTGGAGTTAAAATCAATCTCACAACAATAAAATGCTGGAGACAAGTGGTTTCTTCCTTCTTTCCACAATCCTAAAAAGACAGTTGTAAAGTTTTCCTGCTCAAAACTCCCATCCAGCCCCTACTGGCCAAATACTGTGTTCACAGTCTGTTAACTGCAATTTCAGTTTCCCCTCACAAAACAGTTGTCTTATCTGCACTACCTTCCTCAACTGTACCCAGCCTCCTTCTCCCCACCTCCCTTATTTATGGCAGAGAACCAAAGCAGCCAGTTCCAGGCTGATACAGTGATCCTGATGGAGAAAAGGGTTGCGGGAGGGAGCAATGCATCTTCTGCAAAGCCCCAGACAATAGGAATTAGGAAAGAGGTGCTCACAGAGCCATAATTGCACCATGCTCCTAGGTCAGGCTCCTTGCTGAGTGGCATCCCCAACCTTCTGTCCCACCACAAAGAAGAAGAAATCCATCGTCCCTCTTCTCCCAAAGCGCCTGGAGTGGCTGGTCCCCCTGGCTGGCAGTCTCAAGAGGCAGAGCTTGAATCCACACAAGAGGATCTCTTTGGCCAGTGTCATAGTGGTATGGCAGGGGAATGTGAGGGTTTGAAAGCCAGGTGGAGGACCTGTCCTGCCTGGGGCTTGGGGAGGAGATTATTGCAGAAGCCATCAAGCCCCCCCCCCCCCCCCAGATGTGGGCCGGAATCCGTTGAGCTGTGCTTGATGCTGGGTTCCATCTTCTCTGGCTTCGCTCCAGACAGCAGCTGCATTGGACCCGTCGCAGACGAGGCTGGCCCTCTCGCTCCTACTCCTGCTGATCCGCTGCAGGTCCTTCACCTCTCAGGACAGGGGCCACTCTCTGGGTAAGTGCCATCCCCACCAGTTCCTGCCTTTTGCTCTGACCGGTGATGGGATCTCTGTTCCTGGATATTTCCACATTTTCCTTTTTCCTTCCTGCTGCTGCTGAGTACGGTCCCTCTCCACTCTAGCCAGCTTGGCCCAAAGCAGTGGATTACAGGTGTTGCAGTTCTCTGGGAGGCTTAATGTTTCCCATGCCAGCCACGTTGGTTGGTTCTTTAATTGTGTTTGTCCATGAAAAAGCTTTCTCTCAGCCTCTATACCTCTGGAAAGGGTTTGCTCAGATGTTTTGGCTGGAGATTGCCTTTCTCTAGTGATTCAGTGCATATGGAAGGATGAGAGTGCAGCCGTGTGCTGTTCCCTTGCAGCTGTGTTTCAGAGCCTGCTCTGCCGTCTTGCGGTGTCTGGGAACCCGTCCCTCTCATCGTCCCACGAAGCCCAACAAATTCCTGTACAGGAGGTATTTTTCCTTACCTTTCTGCAGGGAAACTTTGGATTGGCTTAGTTGGGCTTTTAATTCTGAGGCAGACAGAATTTGGGCTCTCTTTTCCTTTTGAAGCACTGACACCTAGGGGTGAGGTGTGAATGAAGCAAGTCCTTCTTCCCCCATTCTCCTCTTTTGCAGCCGGGAAGCAGGAAGAGGACTCGGCGGAGGCGCTGCCCCAGGCCCCCAGCCCCCTGTCTCCCACATCCGTTCCCATCCCATCCCTGCCAGACTTTTCCCATGTGAGTGATAGTTCCCTTGTGATAGAGGTGTTTGTGTGCCAAGCTTCTCCTTCTCCTTTGAGACTTGCTTTGGGAGATGGTAGAGGGGTCCCAGCCTTTGTCCCCCAGTGGGGCTTTGTGTGCCTTTCTCTCCCACTTGTAGATGTGGCAAAGGTCCACCTCGGCCCAGATGTGATCTTTCTGGTCTGACACCTTTGTGTGCACTGAGGGTGCTTCTTGTTCTGGGGCTGAGACCAGCTATGAAGGCCACCATGGGAGTGGGGATGGGGCATGCCCCAGGCAAGTCTGCTTTGAGTTACAAGAGTGGGTTTCCTTCCTGGGGTGGATTGTGTCTGGCAAAAAGAGCTGGACTGCCGCCACAGCAGGAGCCGGTGCTCGCCTTAGACTAGCCTTGTTTTACCCTCTAGGACACCTTTCTTCCAACTCCAAGCTTGGAGCAGGGGTCCAAGGCACAAGCAGAGAAAGGCAGCTCTGGTGTGGTTGCTTTGCCAGCAGCTGGGAGCTTAGAAGCGCCTGAGGTGGGAGCCGAGGTCCTCTCCAGCCTGGTGGAAGGCCCCATTCTGCAGCTTCCAGGTGAAGCCTGTGTTTTGGCCCTTTCTGAGAGTGAGTGCAGCCGGTCTGCTGAGATGGAGGGACAGAGCGTGATGCTGCCAGAGGAAGAGGCGGAACCATATTCCGGAGAGAGACCTGCCCAGACCATTGGCCCCAGCCAGCATCTACTGAGCGCAGACAGTCAGAATCTGCTTTATGGCCCTTCTAAAGACCCGTCTCCTGTCCAAGATGGGGATGGGGGGACTGTCAGGAATCAGGGCTGCCTGGAGGATCCCTTCATTGGGGAGGGAGAGGCCATCCCAGAGGTGCCTCGGGAGGAGGAGCCACAGGAAGCTATGTTGCTAAGCGGAGGGGTCACTTCCCCAGAAGAACAGATGACAGGACAAATTGGATGCTCTGCAGAACCTCTGGACATAGTTCCGCTGGCGGCTGGAGACATGGCCACAGCGGACGCTACAGAAGAACCCCCTGGCCAGGCCCCGTTTTTTACCAGCCCTGGGACAGCACTGCAACTTTCTAGTTCCCAGAGTCCTCCAGCTGAGGGCCCAGAGGGCCCAGGACCCCTGAGCACGGAGCTTCCTGCAGGCCAAATGAAGGAGGCTTCAGAGGAGGAGGAGAGTGCTGTGCTGCTCAGGATGGCCCAGCAGGAGCCAGACGAAGCTATGTCGGCAGCCTGTTCCGCACAGAGCAGCGACGAGGTGCCAGCAGCCTTGCCTGGAAGCCAGCCAGGGGCCAGCAGTAAGGAGATCATGATGGGCCACCTGCCTGGGAAGCAGGAGGAAGAGGCAGCAGCAGGAGCAGCCGAGGGGGCTGAAGAGGGGCAGTGGAGCCAAGCCCCCAATCCCTCAGCTGACCTGGTGGTTGGTGAGTGTCTTGAGGGTCTGTCTATCGGTGAGATCCACATCAGCCTGGCACCAGTGCTTTCCGGCTCCTCCCTGCCTGGTTCCCCCTTCTACCTGGGTGTAAGGTTGCTGCCCCCCCAGCGATAGCTGAGCTCTGTGTTATGTTCCAGAAGGCCCCTCCTTCCAAAAAGAGGGATCAGCGGCGCTTCCTCCTCTGGCAGGCTTCACTCCGCCCCTCATTGGCCGGCTGAAGAGGACTCCCCGGCACAGCACTCCCAATGGTGAGTGGAAGGCGAGGGAGCGGCTGTGACACAGGTCCCTCCTGGGCTGCTGCGGACAGGTGTGGGCTGTGTGAGGCTTGGCCAAAATGTGCTATGGGCGTTGTCAGACTGACTCAAAAAGCCAGCTCCAACTCCCAGTTGCTCTTTGCTGGTGGGTACAGAGGTGGGGAGGTCTCTTCCTGTTCTGTGAGCTCTGTGTGAGAAGCTGGGCTGGGCGTCTTGCCTGTTTTATTCCAGAGGTTGGGGGCTGCCCAGACAGCAGCATTGCCACCAGCAACATCACGGCTGAAAGTGCCCATGCAGTGACTCTGGAGAGTCCTTTGGCCTCGGCAGAGATGGAGGAGGAGAGCGGCCAAGGGGCAGCCGGACGGGGTGGCCAGGKGGTGGAGGCAGCGGAGGAGAAGCTGTCCTTGCAGATSGGCCTGGGGACCCCAGTGGCCGAAGAGAGCGAGGGCTCCCTGCCCTTCAGCCTGGAGAGTAAGGGAGGTGGTCTTGTCATGGAAGGCAATCTCTATGGGTTGGGGAGAGGGTTCTGTGTGTGGAGTATGATGGTCAGCCTGCTTGAGAGGCTGGGGACTCTAGCCCGAAGAGAGATAGTAGGTCTTCTGATCCCTCCTTGAGGTCTCTTTGTCTTTTTCACCTTTTCTCAGAACCTGCAGCCGATCYAGAGAAGAATGGGTCTCTCCCGGGAACTGTTTCCAGGTAACATCAAGCTTARGGGAATTGAAAACAAGGGATGACTTTGTGGCATTTTAAAGGCTAATGGGATTGAGCATAAGCGGGTGGGGGAGGGGGGGTGGGGGTGGAATAATTTTGGGTCCCTGGAGTTGCTGGGAGTGTGGAGTTGCCCTCGGATGCAGAGACGGTTCCCAATGGCCAAGRGTAAAGTGAAGACTTGCGGCTTTGGCTCYGGTTCTGTGCCATGCACAGTTAGTGCCACCAAAACCTGTTGGTGAACTTGAGGCACTTTGTTGGCATGCTGCCCTTCCCTCTGAGCCCCTCCCTCCCTTTGCTCACAGGGCTCAGAAAATGCCCTCCGTCTTTGCTCGTGTCTATGAAGCCCTGCATGCCGGCCAGCCTCAAGGTCCAAAGCGGCCAAGCTCACCATTCAGGCAAGTCAGTGGGGAGCCTTTTGCCCCATGGACTCACTGTTACACTCCCCTGCAGTATGGATTCAGATTCCAGCCCAGGAGGCAGGCTCTTTCCTTTCTAGAGGCGGTCCTGTCTGGACGACAGAACTATGTCTCCTCCTGCTTCTTTGCCCCTCCAGCCCCCCAGGCATTGGAAGAGAGGAGACTGGAAGGAAGGGAGCACCAGGAAGCACAAGGTTCCCCTGAGACTGTCTCCCTTCAAAGGGCATGACAACTGGAGGTCCCTTGTAGTTGGCGCTTCTCTCCCCTCCTGCAGCAAGTTTTGACCTAGCGATGTGAGAGACAGGTGCCCAGAGATATGGGGGGGAGGGGGACGGGGGACGACAGGGAGGGCAGTTCCTCCAAATCCGCATACAAGCACAAGTATGGATTAGCCCTAGTAAAGTCACAATTCCTTTATTGGGAGGGGGACAGTGGGGTGGAAGACTGCTTGCTTTATTCTGGTGTGGCTCCAATTGGTTCCAGGGGAGACCTGTTCCATTTCCCAAATTCCCGGGAGGAAGAGGAGGAGAGGAACGAGAAGGAGGAACATGTACCTGGGGTCAGGCAGAACACAGAGCGGCTGGGTCCCCAGTCTTGTGGGCAGGCACTGCATGGAGACGGCCCAGATGGATGTCCTGAGGAGGAGGAGGTGGAAGAGGCCATGGAGACAGAAACTGTGGGGGCGCAAGAGGGGGAGGCCGGGCAAAGGGAAGCAAAGGGGCCAGGCACTCCCCTCCCTGCAAAAGGGAGTGATCCCACCCACAGCCCCAGGCCTCCCCCCAGCAGTGGGATCCGAGGCCCAGCGAGCATTGTGTCTGTGGCCACGCAGACGAGGGCTTGCGTTCGGGCGGAAGTGGGCACCAGCATGGCCCAGGTTCAGCCTGAAATGCATGATGCGGAAGTGCAGACAGAAGAGGGGCAGAGGGGAACTCCCGGCAGGGCACAGACTGCAGATGTGCCACACAACCAGGTGAGGAGGAACACGGACGCATCTATAGCACATTGGTCATCTTACTGGGCTATCCTGGGGATGGAAGGGAAATGCGTATCTTTTCTGGGCCTTCCCTTTCTCCAGAACGATGAGGAAGACTTGACTTCACCCTGCCAGCCAAAAGTCAACATCTTGCAGCGCCACGTGCGGACCGTCCGTGAAGTGCGCACTGTTGTGACGCGGGTCATCACAGAAGTCTACTATAAGGATGGGGCTGAAGTGGAGCGCAAAGTGGTTGAGGTGAGCCTTCAAGGACTCTGCTGTTGGATTCTGCTCCTTTGTGGCCCAGATCTGATTGCAGGGGCTCCTTGGCTTAGATTTGGTGATTTTTCTCAAGGAGTCACCCTTCCCCATCTTCTAGCCCTGAGGGGAGAAGAGCAGGGCAGCTGATCTCTGCTCCCTTTGTGGTGATAAAGGAGGACTGCCCTGCTGCTTTCTATGGTGGCTCCCTGCCTTTATGAAGGATGGGCTGAGTGTTGTGGTCTCTGTAAAACAGCAACCCCGACCTTGTTGCCATTCTCCCTGAATGCTGTCCTTCCTTTCTCGGTTCCAGGAAAGTGAGGAGCCTGTTGTAGAACGCCAAGAGTCCGAGGTGGCTCTCTCTCCGTCCCGCACAGCAGGATCCTCTTTGACCCCTGGAGACCTGGGGGACATCAGCTCCTTTTCCTCCAAGTCCTCCGGGCCCCAGCAGGCCTCCAGTGGAGGGAGCGGTGCCTCCTCCTTCATCAACAGTGGCATCATCGCTGGCCAAGGAGTGGGGCCCCAAGACTCTCTCTTGCCAGGTGTCAGGAAGCCCAGGTGTGTTGGGGCCCTGCAAAGGAGAGGGAGGATCTGTGGGTTCCTTGGGGTCAAGGCTGGGCACATCTTTGCCAAAGCTAAGTGGGCCTTTTCCCCCAGCCCCAGGAAGGGAGGACTGCTGACCCAGCGGGACCACAGAGCAGCTGAAAGGCACCAGGAGGAGGAAGGTCTGGAAGGGAGTGCGAGGCCGGTGCACCGTGGGCAGGGGAGAAGGGCCCGCCCTGCAGCACGAGGCACAGGGAAGAGGTAGGGCCAAAGGATAGACCGGGGTGGGGGTCTTTTGGGGTGCAGGGAGAGTGAGGCTCAGGAGCTCAGCAGCCCTCTCCCCCTCTCTTTATCTCCACAGGGGCAGCGCATCCGTGACAGAAAACCACTCTGTGCCTCCGCCCGAGGCTTCTCTCCATTGCCGCAGCGGCTCTCCCGAAATCCCTCTGCAGGAGCCGCCCCCTCCCCACTCGCCCTCCTCCTCCTTGCCCTCCTCCCCCTCTAAGGACAGCCTTGTGGGCCTCAGGGTGGTGGCCAAGTGGTCCTCCAATGGCTACTTCTACTCTGGCACCATCACCCAGGACGTGGGGGGCACCAAGTACAAGCTGCTCTTTGATGACGGCTATGAGTGTGAGGTCCCGGGGCGGGACATCCTCCTCTGCGACCCGCTCCCCCTGGAGACTGAGGTGACGGCCCTCTCGGAGGACGAGTACTTCAGCGCCGGTAGGGAAGAGCCCCTGCCAAAGTGATGAATAGATGGGGAGTGTGGAGAGGTCTCCTGGGCAACCCTGATGTTCCATTTCATTGTTGCAGGGGTGGTGAAAGGCCACCGGCAGGAGCTCGGGGAGCTCTTCTATTGTGTGGAGAAGGACGGGCAGCAGAAGTGGTACCGGCGGGCGGCCGTCATCCTGTCCCTGGAGCAAGGGAACAGACTGAGGGAACAGTTTGGGCTGGGCCCCTTCGAGCCCCTCACCCCTTTAGCAAAGGCTGCCGACATCAGCCTCGGTAAGGAGTGGGTGTGGAGGGTGGGGATGGGGGCTCCCCGTTGCTGAGCTCTGGGGAAACAACTGCCTCCCCCCCCCCCCAATGGAAAGCCAGAGAAGTTGGGGCGGAGTGTACCGCTCTCACCCTGTTTCCAGACCCCTTCTCCTTCTCCTCCTAACCTGCCTGGCCTGCCGTTCGGTCTAGACAACCTTGTGGAGGGGAAGCGGAAGAGACGCAACATGGGCTCCCCGGGCCCTTCCCTCCGGACGGGGCTCCTCCTCCGCAAGGCTCCAGACAGCCCCCAGTCACCTCATCGTAAGAGGAAACTGGCCTCCTCAGATGGGGAGCAGTCGCCTGCCAAGCGAGGACGCAAGGCAAATCCCCCCACGACGACAGCGTCAGGTAAGGTTCTGCTGGGACCCCGGGGCAGGTAGAGGTCGAGGAGAGGGGCATGCCTGCTCCCAAAGTCCAAGTGGGAAAACTAGCCCTTCAGGGTCACCAGAAGAGAGCCCTGTTAGAAATATTAAAAATTGACTGGGCAAGCCAAAGCTAGTGTCGTCCTGAGGAGAGTGAGCAGGCTGAAGCCTGTTAAGAGTCAGCGAGCCAAAGCTAGTGTCGTCCTGAGGAGAGTGAGCAGGCCGAAGCCTGTTAAGAGTCAGTGAGCCAAAGCTAGTGTCGTCCTGAGGAGAGTGAGCAGGCCGAAGCCTGTTAAGAGTCAGCGAGCCAAAGCTAGCGTTGTCCTGAGGAGAGTGAGCAGGCCGAAGCCTGTTAAGAGTCAGCGAGCCAAAGCTAGTGTCGTCCTGAGGAGAGTGAGTAGGCCAAAGCCTGTTAAGAGTCGGCGAGCCAAAGCTAGTGTCCTGAGGAGAGTGAGCAGGCCGAAGCCTGTTAGAGTCAGTGGGCCAAAGCTAGTGTCGTCCAGAGGAGAGTGAGCAGGCCGAAGCCTGTTAAGAGTCGGCGAGCCAAAGTAGTGTTGTCCTGAGAAATGTGAGTGGGCCAAAGTCTATTAGAGTCAGTAGGCCAAAGCTAATGTCATCCCAAGGAGTGTGAGGTAAACCTCTGTGTGATAGAAGCCTTGTGTGAGAAAACTCCAGTGTTTGTTTGTGTTGTGGAAACCTTGTTATTGTAAATAGTGCAACCATAATACTACAAAGAAAAGTCTCCTATGGAAGAGATAACATTGGTCTGTGTTCTTTTTGTCACTTTGGGCTCCTGGTGCTGGGTCACGCTACTACTTATTAGTTGCTTTGCTGTACATTTATGAAGAGGGTCTTTTGTTAATAAGCCCACTCGCCCAACAGGCCCTCCCTCTCTAGAAGAGCCTGGGACTTGGGGGAGGGCGGCAGGCTGCATGAGTGAGAGCCCAGGAAGGAGCGAGATAGTCACAGGCCTCTGCTTCCCCTCAAAACACACAGGGCTTGCTGGTGCCAAGGTGACCGGGAGCCCCACCTGCAGCGTTGGGGACCCAGGAGCAGCTGATGAACGGTGGGGGCCTCTGCCTCAGAACAAGGCCCTCTTCTTGGGCTACGGCTTCCTCTTGACGGTAGCCAGCCCCACGGACAGACCCTCCAGTGGCCAGGCGCTTGCTGTGAGCTCCGGAGAAGAAGAAGGTGAGAAAGACTCAGAAGCAAACAGTGGAGTTTGGGAGTGTGCATGGGCGGGGAATGTCAGGTACAGAGTTAGATCACCTCGTTGAAGAGCTTAAGCAGCTGAGGGGAAAGGAAAAGGCCTGAAGCTATTAGGAATGGTGTGAGTTCCAAGACACCTGGAGGGCACAAGTTTCCCCATGCCTGACTTAGAGTGAAGGATGGTATTTTAGTTTGCCATTTTTCTTAATGTGTGCCCAGAGTTACTGGTGACAACGCCATACAATCAAAGCTATGTTGAGCTGCAGTTAAAGACAGGAGGTGGTATCATCCTGGAGGACTTCAAGGACAGCCAGGTCAGAATTGTGGCAAGATCTTTTTTTTTTTGGGGGGGGGGGGGGGGGAGCGCCCTCCTTATGCCAGTCTTCCCTCGCCCAAATTGGCAGCCATGCAACAACAATGCTCTGCTGCAGTGCGAGTTTTGTGTTCAGAGGGGCCCTGGATGAAGGAAGGAGGCCTGGGAGCCTCGCAGGCAAGGTCTTGGCAAGCCCTCCCTCCCTTTGCTCCCTGTGATCCAGTGCAGCGCAGGCTTCCAGTGCCTCCTGGTAGCGGACCGCCCTTGCCGCACTCGGAAGTACCTCCTGTGCCTCGCCAGAGGGATCCCATGCGTCTCCCACGTCTGGGTCCACGACAGCTGCCACGCCAACCAGCTGCAGAACTACAAAGATTACTTGCTGCCTGCTGGATACAGCCTCCTGGAACAGAGGATGCTGGAGTGGTAAGTGCCACACAGGCCCTCTCTGTAGCCCAGGAGGGAGGAGCCTCGGAGTCCACCCCCCCCAAAGTGCCATTCCTGACCCTTCTACTTCTTCCCACAAGAATGTGAATGCATATTATTGTTGTTTTACACTGTTTATGTTTTATGATTATAATTGATGTATTTGGATTGTTGTTTACATGGTTTTAATAGGCTGTAAGCCACTTTGGGTCTGTGAGGGAGAAAAGTGGGATATAAATAAAGATGTATTATTATTATTTGATGCACTACAAGACTAGTACACAGCAAACAAGATCCCTATGCTGGCTTTTGTATTTGACCACACGTCAGACACTTCCTAAGTGTCTGCTACTGTGTGACGGATCTGCAACTATTATTTGCTGATACAAGTAGGGTGGCTGTTTGCAGCAAACAGATGGTCATTTGTCAGCACTGATTGTTTTTACGTGCAGGCCAAGATCTTTAGGCACTGCACCCAGTGTGCCAATCACCACTGGGACCACTTTGATTGGCTTGTGCCAGAGTCTTTGCAGATCTTTAAATTCTCATTTCATGTAAGCTTTTCCAATTGCGTCTCACCAATTCTGCTGTTGCCTGGGATTGCACCATTGATGACCCATACTTTTATTTATTTTTTTGATCATGAGATCAGGGCTATTGTGCTCCAAAACTTTGGAAATCCCAGAGTAGTTTGACATGTTAATTTATTATTAGTAGTAGTAGTAGTTGTAGTACTATTAGTAGTAGTATTAGACTTATTATTCTCAGGCGACCGCGGAAGGACCCCTTCCACAAACTGAAGGTGCTCCTGGTGTCAGATGAGCCGCAGGACTTTTTGGAATTTTGGTCTGAGATTCTCATGACTGGAGGAGCTGCATCTGTGAAGCAGCAGACATCGGCTTCATGGAGCAAAGGTACCACCACCACTGGGATGCCCCTTCAGTGGAGCCTGGGAAGGGCCTTCTCCCTCTCCCCATGGGGTGTGTATAGGGAGAGATGCTGAATATATAAACACCAGGAATGCTCTTCCCTCCCTTCCTCCCCTTCCTGCTGCCTCAAAGAAAATGCTAGAGAGGAAAATGGGGGAGGGGAAAGGCTCCCAGGTTCCCCCTTGTGCCTGTGTAGCAGGGCTGCCCGTGCTCATCCCCTTGCCAAGGACCTGGCACAGAATCTCTAAGTCGGCCACTCACTGTCTCGTAGTCCAAAAGGTAGTCCGCATGCATCCACATCCAACAATCTTACAAGGGCAAAGTGTACACAGAGTCCAGAGTTGTTGTTGTTGTTGTTATTTATTTACTACATTTATATACCGTTTTTCTCCCCCTAAGGGAACTCAACACAGTTTCCAACATTATAAAGGCAAAATTCAATGCCGCACATACATGTGAAAACCAAAATAGCAAGACAATAACATACGTATAACTTATAAATTAACCTAACCAAATTAAAACAAATGTAAAAGAACATTTATACATAAATCATAAAAAATTAAACTTCGATAATATAAGATTTATACTAAAAATCACCGATAAACAATACAATTTAAAAACAGGTATTAAAATCACGACATCCAAGGGTCAAAGCCAGTTAATCTCACCAACTCAAGCCATAGTCCAAAAACGTAATTTCGTCACCAAATCCAAAGTTCCATCCAAGTCAGGGTGTAGCAGTTCCATAACATTGCTCTCATCAAACTACCAGCTCCAGTCTCCAGGTATTTATGCCACTTCCCCAAGCGTTCTCACCTGTTGGCCCCGCTCTGAGCCAACCTATCAAATATCCTCCGTTGAATGAGGAGCCCCAGGTGATGCAATGGGTTAAACCCTTGTGCCTGCAGGATTGTTGACTGACAAGTCAGTTGTTCAAATCCAGGAAGAGTGAGTTGAACTCCCTCTGTCATCTCCAGCTCCCCATGTGGGGACATGAGAGAAGCCTCCAACAAGGATGGTAAAACATCAAAACATCCGGGCATCCCCTGGGCAATGTCCTTGCAGATGTTCAATTCTCTTACACCAGAAGCGACTTGCAGATTTTCAAGTCGCTCCTGACATGAAAAAAAAAGTTGGATGGCATCAGTTCTTAACCCTTCCAGCTATTAAGGCTACAACTAACTCCTGGTTTGCTTCTTGGAGCTCCTGATCCTGCCCTAACTCTGTATCCCTACTTCTCTGAGGCTGCTGGTCTTACTCTGCAAGTGGAGATCCCTCAGTGCTTGGCTCTGACTGAGGCTGGGTGAAGCAGCCCTTCATCTTCATCCTCATCACAGGCTCTCTCCTTCGCTTTCTTTCCACAGACGTAGGCCTGGGCCTCTTTGATGTGCTGGTGACGGACAACTCCTGCCCAGCGGCCATCTTAACGTGTGCGGAGGCGCTGGCGCTGCCGGTTGTGTCCCAGGAGTGGGTGGCCCAAAGCCTTGTTGCCGGGGAGCCAGTGGGGTTCCAGCTCCTGGCCTTTGCACCCCAAGGGCACTCCAGTTGAAGAAGCTCCCTTGCAATGGTTTTAACTTTTTGTGTCAATTAAGCCCCTGTGCATGAAGATGATGTGCTTGTATATACTTTTGACTTCTGAACTTCCACGATGATGGAAAAAATAAATACTGGCTTTCTTGTTGTTGTGGTACGTGAGCTTTCCCTCATCATCTTTCAAGGAGCCCGGCACCCATTTTTTCTCTAAAATTGTGAAAGGTTTTCTTAAAAAAAGTTCCAGTAACCCATAACAGTATTTATAATGATATCTTTTATTGGTTAAAGAAATATGTTACACCTTCTGGGTTTCCTCAACATGAGGAAACCCGTGATCAATTTGTTTCACTACATATTTCATGGGGCAATAAGGGCATTTTGGATGGGAAGGAGGAGCATCAGTGGTTCCGGTCATGAGGGACTGACTGCAAAAAACAGCCAGACCTTCCTTCCATACATTATGGAGCAGACAAGCCACAGGAGGACAACAGAGGGCTCTCCTCCTGCCGACGTCCTCAGACATCCCTCTGCTAGGGAAGGGGGGGGGGTCTTCGTCTTTTCATGCTACCACCTCTTGTTTTTACCCCATGGAGCAGATCAGCCTTAGCACCACAAAGGTTGTCACTCCCGCTCCAGTTACATCTTGGTCATCTTCTCTTGATTGTAAACAAAGAGCTAATGAAAAATATGGGAATCATGCAGAGTCCTTCACTGAGGGGCATTTTAGCCTAAAGCACCAGCAGTTCCGTGCTCTTCATCCACCTTCTCCCATTTTTTTCTGATGTCACAACTGGATTGGCCCAATCACTGGTCTAGGAGCCCAACACTGCAAGAAAAAGATGTCAGAAATGTTAAAAATTAACTAGGTATTTTTAATTACAAAACTCTGAGTCAAGCACTGAAAGGGTTAAATGGATGCAATGTCTCAGGAAATAATGTAGTTCAATATAAGCAGGTGTGCCTGTAGCTTAGTATGCCTCAGAGGGAGGAATGCCTCAGTATGAGAAGGCTCCAGTGTTAGTTTGCCTCAGTATGAGAACACCTCAGAGGTAGTAGGCCTCACTGTGTGAGATGCCTGGTGTGAGAAGGCTCTGGTGAGAGAAGCCCCAGGTTGAAGGCAGTGTGTAAAGCTCTAGTGTGAAGCCTGCTGTGTGTAAAAGGATACTGTGTGAAGCTCCTGTATAAGTTTAGTGTGAGAAGAGGCTCTGTGGGAGCGAGGCTTTTTATCTGCATGAGAAAGAAGCACAGCATGGAAGCAAAGAAGGAAGTATAAAGTATTTTGTTATAGAAACCTTATTTTGTAAATAGTGCAACCATATTATTTTTCTATAAAGAAAAGCCTCCTGAGGAAGAGATAACATTGGTTTGTGTGTTTTTGTACTTTTTTATCACTTTGGGCTACTGGTGTTACTCTGCTGTACATTTATGAGGAGGTTCTTTGTTAACAAGCCTTATCCAACAAAAGAGCAGAAAGTTTGCTTCAGATAGGGGTGTGTGATGGGATGCCCAATTATATATACACTGAGGTCCGTGGGCACAACGCGGGCCAAGATTGGGTTGTGTGATGACCTTCAATGCACAAAACTTGAGAGGCACCCTCTGAATTATGGCAGCAAGGCACACCAGCCATGTCACCAGCTACAGCTCTCACTTGACACCACAGAGTGACCCACAATGGAGCAGTGCCCCTGCCCCTACCTGCCCAAGGTGCCCCCTGCCTGCGTGTAGTACTTGTTGTAGTCCAGGCGCAGCAGCAGCTGAGCCAAGTCTGAGTTTATCTGGTGGTTGTGGACGCTAGACAGAAGCTTAAATAGAAGAGAAGACTGGCAGCTGAACCCCTGCAAAGGGGAAAGAAAAACAAGTGAGAAAAACCACTCTGGGGATCCTTCCTTGGCCCCCATACAAGCTCGAATCTCATGCACACTCCTCCTCCCAAAGGGAAACCCACCTTGGCCAAGATGCTCAGCTGGGCAGCTCCCCGCTCATCCAGGGGCCCCCGGTTCTGGCTGACCAGTGTGCAGAAGTTGTGGCAGAGGTCCAGGATCTCATTTAGGCAGTGGAAAGCCTGCATGGAGGGTGAGAGAAGGACAAGGCCTTGTTGGGATCTCGTTGGAAGAGCAGGAACTCCCTTCTTTGGGGTGGGGCCCATGGCTTGACACAGGCGGCCAAAAGCACTATCCAAGTGCACAATCAAGTGCCCTGTGTTGCCTGGACAGACAGATGGAGGGGGTTGCTCCCTGCCATGGTCCCACCTGTGCCTGCCCTGACCTGCCAGGAGAACCCTTGCTTTCCCTGTACTTGCAGGAACCCTTCCTGGGTCCTGCAGGAGAAAGACTGGCTGCTGCTGTTATAGTGACAATTTTTATGCTTATATTTTGTTTTGTTAATCTTACGGTTATGTTTTTATTACTTTGTATGTTTTGTGATGTTACCTGGGAACTGCTCTAAGTCCCCTCGGGGAGATGGAGCAGTATAGAAATAAAGATGATGATGATGATTATTATTATTATTATTATGCTGCTGCCGCCTCCAGAGGCAAAGGAGTGGGAAACACTCACCGGCTTCAGCAGGATGAAGGACTGGGCCAGCAGATTGCTCAGGAAATGGTCATGCGCCCGCCGAATGCTCTCAAAGTCACGGGTGGCATTGATCTGTTGCAGCAGTTGGGAGAACTGCGATTCCAAGACATCCACCTACAGGCAGGAAGAACAAAACACTGCCTTTCGCTGGGGCAAACACTGGCCCTGCCTTCAGATCAGCCTTCCTTCCCTTGGCCCTCACCTGAAGGTAGTACTGCAGGTTGTCCACCAGGAAGGTCATGTGGTGCCGCAGCCGCCACTTGATGGCGTCCGTCCGGCTGGACTCCAGGCGCTTGCTCCGCATTTGCAGGGCCCAGCAATGCTGCAACTCCGCCTGGACCCTCCGGACGCTCAGCAGGTACTTGAAGACCACATTGTACCTGTGGCAGAAGAGGGAAGAGGTGTGGCTGATGGTCCCTCCTCACCAGGGAAGGAAGCCCTGCCCCCTCACCTTTTGGGCCCTCCTCGCCAGGGAACAAAGCTCTGCCCCCTCCCCTCACCACCTGAAGAGGGAAAGAGCGAGCCTAACTTCTCAAGGACGGCTGGAGTGAAGAGGATGTGCAGTGGCCACTGAACCCGGTAGGAGAGGCCCAGTGCAGCCCAGCCGGATGTGGGGGATTCGTGGGGTGACAGTTCACGGGAAGGCAGCACCTCGCGGGCCTGAGAAGCATCTGGAGAGGGGGGAGGACAGACAGGCTGGGCGTCAGGCCTGGGTTGTGGGGCAGCCCCTCACCCAGGATAGGGGCTGTCCCCGCTTTCTCTAGAAATGGCTCTTTTCCAGGAAACCACAGGGCTCCGTGTCTGCTTCTCACAAGTCAAGGAGGCACCCATTTTGCCATCAAGGCTGCACCTGACCTGCCCTGCCCTGCCCCACACCTCTGCTGGGACACCTCCACCCTCCCGCTGCAGGGTCTGCACCCACCTCGGTGCTCCTTCCCGTGGTAGTGGATGGTCAGGTGCAGGAGGGGTAGGAGGTTGTCGTCATCCAGCAGCACCTTGTGGGCTGATTGCTGGAAGGCCACGTTCACGTCTGAGGAGGAAACAACGGAAGAGAACACCTCAGCTTTTATGGGGAGAGGCCACACTCCCAGCAGAAGGGAGCCCCTACTCCTATATTATTTTTCATTATATACTATTGTTAATTAATAATAAATTATTTTCATTATTATTTCATATTATTATTACATTATTTATGAATATAATTATGACTATAAGGGAGCCCCTCCTCCTCCTATATTATTATTCATTATATATTATTATTCATTAGCAATAATAAGAATAGATAATTATTCATTACTATTATTATTCATTATTATTCCATATTATGAATAATTATTTCATATATGAGTAATTATGCCCCCCATTGGTGCTGCAGGTTAAACTGCTGAGCCACTGAACTTGCTGACCAAAAGGTTGGCGTTTCAAATCCAGGGAGCAGGGTGAGCTCCTGCTGTTAGCCCCAGCTTCTGCCAACCTAGCAGTACGAAAACATGCAAATGTGAGTAGATTAACAGATACTGAAAGATGGTAACAGCGCTCCACACAGTTATGCTGGCCACATGACCTTGGAGACGTCTGTGGACAACGCTGGCTCTTTGGTTTAGAAATAGAGATGAGCACCACCTCCCAGAGTCGGACACGACTAGACTTCATGTCAAGGGGAAACCTTTACCTTATTATGATTATAATGATAAGGGAGCCCCTCTTCTGTTGCCCCCCAAGAGGCCCTGCTCTGCCCATCCTCTCCTCTGCCTCAAAGTGTGGACATGGGGAAACCCTTCCTCTGAGAGAGCCCTCTTGTGGGGCAGACGCACCGTGCTCTGTTACAGCTGTGGGGGGTGTCTTGAGCATCTGCTGGGCAGTATCGATGAAGGCCTGGAACAACTCTCCTCTCCCCAAGAGATAGAAATCTTTGATGATCTAGGCAGAAGGAAGAAAGGAAGGCATCATCAAACAATCTCCCAGCAGCCCCTTCCCTTCCTTCTACTGACATCTTCCTGGAGGAGAGGGAGGAAACCCAAAAGCGCCACTTGGAGGGATGCCATTTACCTTCAGCTGGCCTATTAAATCTGATTCTTCCACCAGCAGCTTCCATAAGTGCTTGAGGAGAAAAGAAAAATATTAGTGGTTGTAATAATAATAATAATGGTAATAATAGTATCCGTCACCACCCAATTAGCATTCAGACGAAGAGCTGGCCCACTCTGGCTGCCATCCAGCCCCGTCCTCCCTTCCAGATCCACCTGTTTCACCGTGAAAAGCCGTCCTCCCACCTGGGCCCCTGATTAGCATCCTCTTCTCTTTGGGGGAGTGCCAGGGACTTTCACTTGGCTGCCACCTGCCAAGGCGCTCCATCTGGAGCAAGGTCTCACTCACCTCAGCCACGGCACTGCGTATCCAGTCGACCACAGACTCAAAGTCTGCCAGGCTGAAGAGGGGCCGCTGTTTGAGGCGGTGCAGCTCAGCCGCAAAAGTATCCTCCTGGTTCTTCAGGATGGAGCCTGGGAGGCAAGGGGAGGGTAGGAGACACACAATGAAGGGCAGACTTTCCATAACAAGGGCCCCAAGCGTTTAACAAGAGAGGGGAGGGGGGAGAGAGAAATTACACAGAAGCTTCACACAGTAGCTTTAAACACAACAGCCTTCACACAGGAGGCATTCAACCTGGAGCTTCTCTCACCAAAACGTCTCACACTAGGCCTACTAACACTGAGGTCTACCTCACACCGAGGCCTTTCTCCCACGGAGGCCTTCTCACACTGAAGCGATTTAACATTGAGGCCTACTAAGCTACAGACATACCTACTTATATAGAATTACAGCTTTTGCTGAGTCATTGTATCCATTTAACCCTTTCAGTGCTTGACTCAAATTTTTGTAATTAAAAATATCTAGTTAATTTTTAATATTTCTGACATCCCTCCTCCTACCTTTCTTGGTCAGGCTAATGTTCTGGCTCTCAAACATCTGGACGGACTCTCCCACAAAGAGGATCTTCTCGGCCACATGTGCAGGGATGTAGGAAGGCAGCATCTCGACCCGGAGGGAGAACTGCTTGGGCGACGGAGCCAGCATGTTCTCCTCTTCAATTAGTCTCTGTTGGGACCAGGAACAAGGATGGAGGGACACAGAGAGGTAACACAGAGCAAGATAACATTTTACACAAGGATTACGACAATGTGGAGTATTTTATTAATGCCATATTTCTCGGCTCTGTTGTTGTTGTGAATGATAAGTAAAATACCCCGGCCAGGAGGGCATTCCTCACCATGTCCTGCAGCTCCCGCAGCTGCTTCCCGGTGAGGCCCCCGATGCCCAGGTCATCCTCATCCTCATCCAGCTGTGAAGGTCCTGATCCAGAGGAAGAGGAGGAGGGGCCTTGACGGATGAAGAACTCCTCGTACTGGTCCAGGAGGAGACCGTGCAGCATCCAGGCCGATAGCTGCTTGTACATGGCCGCGTGGCAGGTGGCCAGGATTCTGCAGCAAGAGGAGAAGGGACACAGGTGAAGGGGAGGGGCTTCGGTGGTGACCTTTGGCATTGAGAGGCAGGTACCCCCTCCTAATCTTATCAGTGGGCCACTTCAATAAGGAGACAGGGAGAAGTGTCAGAAATATAAATAAATTAACTAGGTATTCTTAATTACAAAAATGTGAGTCAAGCACTGAAAGGGTTAAATCGATGCAATGACTCAGCAAAAGCTGCAGTTCAATATAGGCAGCTTAGAATACCTCATTATTAGCAGGCCTCAGTGGGAGGAAGGCCTCAGTTTGAGAGGCTTCAGTCTAAGTACACCTCAGTGTGAGAGAGAGCCAATGTGAGGAGGCCTCTGTGTGAGAGAGGCCTCAGGAGGCCTTAGTGTTAGAAAGCCTGGTGTGAGAAGCTTTGGTGAGAGAAACCCCAATGAGTAAAGCTACTGTATGAAGCTTTGGTTTGAGAGGAGGCTCTGTGAGAGCAAAGCTGTTTATCTGCATGAGAATGAAGCCCAGCGTGGAAGCAAAGAAGGAAGTATAAAGAACTTTGTGTTATGAAAACTTTGTTTTTGTAAATAGTGAAACCATATTATTTTGCTAGAAAGAAAAGCCTTCAAAGGAACTTATAACATTGGTCTGTGTGCTTTTGTTCTTTTTATCATTTTGGCTACTGGTGCTGGGTCACACTGCTGCCAATAAGTTACTCCTCTATACTGTTATGGGGAGTGGTCTTTTGTTAATAAACCCACTTTCCTAACAAGGAGGTCAAATAACAACAGCAGGGTTTGAGGGGATGAAGTGAGATTGGGGGGGGGGGAGAGCACCCACAGCAAGCAAAGGAAGGATCAGTACCTCTCCAGGGCCTGGCGGACAGGGGGCAGCCCCCCACGGCTATGCCTGTGGACCACCTCCAGGATCTGGCAGCCATGGATCTGCAAAGAGAGAGAGAAAGAGAGAGAGAAGCTGGCCCACAAAATCAACTTAATGTTGTGTTTCAGCATTGAGAGGGATTCAATGGTTTCCCCATATTCCACAAAACAATAGTATAATGCAGATGCTTCTAGACATACATCACAATTATATACGTAATGCCTACTGAGATGAGAAGAAATGGCAGCCCTGCCTTGCTGGACACCACTGTTGTGGTGTAGGAAGGAGCAGAGTCCTTGGGAGGGGGAACATTTTCTTCTAGCTTCAGTCTGCTTCTGTAAACAGAGGTCTACTCTTCCCTCCTTCCCTCCCTTGGTGACCCCCGCTGACCACCACCCTCCTCCTCCTTGCACCTACCTTCTGGGTCTTGATCTGTTCTACCACAACCATCAAGGAGGGGAAGAGGAGCTGGAACTGCAAGAGAGGATGAGGAAGGAAGCATCAAAGGTGTACCTGGGCCTTTCCTGCAGCATCTCTTCCTGGCCAAAGGGGGGCAACAATCATACCTGGTCCAGGGAGTAGTTGAGGTGGGCGATAGTCAGGTGGGGGTCGGCCAGGAACTGCAGAGAGAGAGAGATGGGTCAGGGGAGCCCCCCCCCTTGAATCATAGAATCCTAGAGTTGGAAGAGACCTCGTAGGCCATCAAGTCCAACCCTCTGCTGAGAAGCAGGAAAATCACACTCAAAGCACCCCCAATAGATGGCCATTCAGCCTCTGTTTAAAAGCGTCCACCACACTCCAAGGCAGAGAGTTCCCCTGCTGAACAGCTCTCACAGTTAGGAAGCTCTTCCTAAAGTTTGGGTGGAGCCTTGTCCCCAGATCCCGCTGTGACCCCCTCACCTCTAGCTCCAGGTCCAGCAAAGCCTGGCGGTAGGGCTGCAGCACGGCGTCAAGCCCTGCACAGAAGGCGCGCAGGTAGATCCCCGGCGGAGGCAACTCCTGCAGTAAGAAGGAAAGAAGGGTCAAATAATGACTGATTTATGGACAGATCTGGCTGCAATCTATGTTTGAAGGAATTCAATTGAGATGAGAAGTGGCATACAGGGAGCACACAACCCCTCTGTTGTGTCAGCTCCACTGGCTGCCAGTCTGCTACCGAGCACAATTCACAGTGTGTGTGGCACTAAATTGCTGCCTGTTGCAAGGGTGCCCTGAGTCCCCTCCTGATTGAGAAGGGTGGGGTACAAATGTGGCCAATACATAAATAAATAACATAAATATTACCATAAAAATGATGATGATGATGATGATAATAATAATAATACATTTATTTGCAAGTGTATCACACTAAATGTCCTATTGAATAATCCCTCATTGACATAATACTATATAAACATATCCAACAAAAATTATATATAAAAATGATAACACACACACACAATTAATAGTGATAAAAATAATAAATTAATTTGCAAGTGAATTGCATTAAATGTCCAATTCCCCTCCTGGAAATGATAATATATAAAATAATGACACTTCCAATAATAATTGCATATAGAAATGATCACACACTCACACACACACACACAAATAGTGATAAAAATAATACATTTATTTGCAAGTGTATTGCATTCAATGTCCAATTGAATAATCCCCTCCTGGAAATGATGATAATATAGAACATAATAACATTTCCAATAATAATTATATACAAATTAATAACATATGTGTGTGTGTGTATGTGTGTGTGTATATATATATATCTCATAATAATAATACATTTGCAAATGCATTGCACTAATACTCCTATTAAATAATCCTTCATTGATGTAACACCATATAAAATAACATATCCTACAATAATTATATATAAAAATGATAATACACACACACACACGAATAGTGATAAAAATTATAAATTTATTTGCAAGTGTATTGCATTCAATGTCCAATTGAATAATTCCCTCCTGGAAATGATAATAATATATAAAATAACATTTCCAATAAGAATAATATATAAAAACGATAACATATATTTGTATGTATATATATATATATGTGTGTGTGTGTATATATAATAATAATAATAATACATCTGTTTGCAAGTGTATTGCACTAAATGTCCTATGGAATAATCCCTCATTGATATACTATATAAAGGTAAAGGTTGTCCCCTGACATTATGTCCAGTCATGTCTGACTCTGGGGTGTGGTGCTCATCTCCATTTCTAAGCCGAAGAGCCAACATTGTCCATAGACACCTCCAAGGTCATGTGGCTGGCATGACTGCATGGAGCGCCGTTACTTTCCCGCCGGAGCGGTACCTATTGATCTACTCACATTTGCATGTTTTCAAACTGCTAGGTTGGCAGAAGCTAGGGCTGACAGCGGAAGCTCACGCCGCTCCCCGGAATCGAACCTGCGACCTTTCGATCAACAAGCTCATAATAATAATATATTATTATTTTATATTATTATATAAAACAATAATATAGCCAACAATAATTATATATTTTGTATATTTTTATATACAAAATAATAACATATCCAATAAATATTATATATAAAAATGATAACATATGTGTATATACATATATATGCTGTAATAATGCTCATAATAATAACAACAATACTACATGTATTGGCAGGTGTCTTGCATGCCATGCTGTCCCAATGCAGCCTTGCTCACCTGTGGGGGCGGGGCGGGCGGGAGCGCCGGGGGCGGGGCCTGCGCGGGAGGGGGCGGGGCCTCGCCGGCATTGCTGCTCTGATTGGCGGGCTCGGTGAACTCGCTGAAGCGGAGGTAGAAGGAGCCGAGGCGGAGGAGGCGGCCTAGCAGCGCGGCCTCGCTCGGGTGAATCAGCGCCGGCACCGCTTCGGGAGCCACCTGTCGGAGGAAGAGGGAGAAGCGCGTTTCAGGACAGAGGCACTTAGGGGCGGGGCTAAGGCAACCAGGAGGGGGCGTGGCCACACCTGCAGCCCCCCGCTGGCCACGAAGAGCCCCCCCGCGTAGCCCCGCAGCGCCAGGAGCAGCTCGTGGATCATCCCGGAAGGAAGCAGAGGGGCACGTGACTGAGTGGCGGAGGCGCAAAGGGGGCGGAGCTAGCCGATTGGGCGGGAACGTCTCCCGCGCATGCGCCCAAGGCCCGGGAAGGGCTGCTTCCGGCCGCGCCTTGTCTGTCAGTCAGTCAGTCAGGCAAGGCAGGAAGGCAGGCAGGCTAAGAGCGCGCCTTCTCCGCTTGGAGAGAGAGAGAGAGAGAAAGATGTCGGCCGCGGAGGAGCTTGAGGGCGCGGCTCGGCCCCACTATGGCTGTGAGTGGCCTTCCGTCCTCATTTTCTTTCCGAGGGGAAGGGGAAGGAGACCCTTCCTGACGCCCCTCCTTCTATTTTCCCCCTTCTGTAGCGGTGCTGGACAACGAGCGGATGACGGCGGAGGAGATGGACGAGAGGCGCCTGCAGAACGTGGCCTACGAGTACCTCTGCCACTTGGAGGAGGCCAAGCGGTGAGGAAATATAAGGGGGCGAAGAGGGCGGGGCCTGTGAGAAAGGGGCCTGGGTAGGCA